TGAAAGTAGCTGATATGTTTTTGAAAGTTACCTAGGACTGCTGTGGCAAAACATACAATCAGCATTTTGATATTAAACATTTACAGTATAGGTTTAAAAATCAGCCAAAATATTTTCTCAGAAGGTTGGCATTTCAGGATTTTCCACCAACAAAAGGTTATTTCCAAAGCAAATAATCTCAAATAAATAACTTGGAAGAGTGGGACAGTGTGTATATCTTGCCAGATACTTAAAGAGGCCCATCATGAAAAAGCTTTGTTTTCAGTCAGAACAACAACAGAAAAACAGCTCAAGTACGTTAAATGTAAGTGAATTTTGATTAAGATTACATGAAATGCCTGCAATGAATGGCAACCAAAAAAAGATCTGGGAACCTTATTCTGTGGTGAGATGTATATGTCTGAAATAATCCCACCCTTTCTAAGAAGTCAGTAATCTACACAGATGATTTATAGGCATTACGCTCTAGAACAACTCTCCCTAAAAGCTCAGGGACTGCTCTTTTCCTTTAACCTACTATAGGAGTACTGCAGGTTTGTGAAAAGAAGTGGCATCCTTCATGTGAGTTCAGTGTCATATCTGATCCTAAAAAAGTCCAGAGAATCAAATAAGAAAAGCCAAGGGCAAGTATGGGTCCGTCACACTCAGTTGACAAGGAGGGGCAGACATGGTGGCTCTGCAATTGTGAGATACCAGCTGGATGGATAAAACAGAAAAATAAGGCACACCCTGCAGGGAAGGCATCACTTCTTCCTTTGACTCCTCTTTCTTTTTAAGAACAGAGCTACGATTCCTTCCAATTCCTCCTCTGAGGTATCCCATCTTCTTACTGCATCAGGCTCAGACGTGTCTCAAAGTAAACAAAACTGAGTCATGCTGGCCTGTGTTTTCTCCCTTTGGGTTTCTTATGGAGCAATATTTTTAATGTCTTAGGATAAACACTGGCAGATCTTAACACATTAGATTCAACTTTTTAAAAAGGAAATGGTAGAAGTCAAATGTATTGTTTTGCAAAGACGCCTGTATTCAGGGCGAGATTCCTTGGGAGTAGCTGCTAACTGGTGTGGCTGTTGCCAGAATGTGGAACTACCATCGGCTGCACTCTCGCATGTCATCTGGTCAGACCACAAACTTTCAATTCATTTTAACATGATGGAACACGTTTGTTATTTTTGTGAATCATGACAATTATTATTTTAATAAGCAATAACATTAGTTTATATAGTAATGACAGTACGTAGTGTCTGTGATTAAGGAACTGAGTTCACGCATTTGTATGTGCGAACATATATATAAACATGATACATAAATAACTTATATCCCCAAATTCAGCTAAATGTGAGCAAGGATTATTCTGACAACTAAGGTCTGGCATAGGCTCCTTGTTGAACATACACAACCATGTGGCTGAGTACCTCTGTGGGGAACAGTCTTTGCCAAGGTAAGTAGGCTGAATTAACAGAAGCTGGAGAGACTAAAATCTGTAATGAAATCTATAATGTAATGTAGTATAGTATAACATAGTCAATGGTGGAAAGAGAAAAAGGGGAACCTGAAAACCCAAGACTTGAGTGAATGGTTGACTGGCAACTCAGAGTTTGGCTGCTTGGCCAGCCTCCTTTCCCCCCTGAGCGCAGGTCGGTCCCCTGTCCTGGTTCTCTCAATGCCCCCCCTGGGGCAGCAGGAGGGAGGGGAAAGCCTGGCAGCAGAAGTGAGTGGTGCGAGGCTGGCACTAGCAGAGCGGTGCTGGTTCAATGTGCTTGTGCAGCAAAGCTGTCAGCAAGATCCCATTGGCGTTACTGAAGGATAATGACTTGGATAAACCAGAACGCGTTTCTAGAAGGACAGCAAAAAGCCTGTTTCTTACCCCAGTACGAGCCACCTCTCATATTTCAGTTTCCTTCTCCAAACTCTGGGAGGGGCAAGACATCTTCAAAGAAGAAACTGAAGCTGAGAAAGTAGGGAAAAATCTCATAAGCACTAATAAAACTAACCTAATGTGATAGAGCAGCTCAACTTTCAAGAACAGTGGAAGAAAAAGGGGAAACTCATTAAAAATAAGTTAGTAAAACTGCAAATACACTGAAAACCATGGTTTGTTGTAGGAAATGTTGGACAAACAGCTCAGCCTGTATTAAATTAAAACATGATAACCTTTAAAGGTCATCTAAATTAATTCCTATTGTTCCAGTTGCATAGACTTAAGAATAACAAGTGTTCCAACCCCAGAAGAGTATGTGTTATTTTATATACAGCGGTTTACTACTTCCGGGAAAAAAAAAAAAAAAGCTGCTTTTTAGAGCTGCCTAAATCTAACTTTATCTGACTGAATTTACAGTCAGATTTTTTTTTTTAACTGATCTGTTTTGTCTCAGAGTTTGTAGTATAACCATAAATAACATTCAGGTCTTCTGACATGAATCCTGAATTCCTCTTAACTCCTTTTCTTAATGCCTCTTGGTGATTCAGACCACAAGACAAAAGTAAATGCAATAATGAGACATTTAGTTATGAGAGCAGTGATTCAAGGAGTCATATTGCTTTCACAGGATGTCTTACAAAATGTCCACACATCTGTATTGGCGTTATGCTGAATAGATAGATACATGTGGGTTATTTTCCTATACTGGCTATATAGCTTGCTCATTTCAGTAGCATGACAGTTAAACCTAACATCTGGCTTTAAAGTTTCCTAAAACATAGTAATCGTGCTGTGGAATTTCTGGTAAGATTAAATGAGTTTTGTGGTTTTAATGTAGTAGTAGTAGTAGTAATAACATGCGTCACCACAGGAGAGCTGCATGCAGTTTTGGAAAGAACTTTGAACAAGGAATAAAGGAAAATGTTCTGAAACTATATTCTGTGCAACAATGTGAACTGCTGTGGGGCTGGTCAGCCCATGTCTGCAAGGGCCCTGGACAGATGTGAACAGTCCTTGAAGAAGTCGGCCCTCAGAATCAGTACTGGCACTGGACATAAAAGTATCTGCATGAGCAAGTAACCTTATTATGTATACAGCACGTTTTTCATTACATTTGGAGATGTTGCTATTATTACTCTCTTTTGTGGTTAAGTCACTTCCATCTATCTACTTCCATCTGACAAGGCATTTTTAACAACTGAGACTCATAAAATTCCAATGCTGTTTGATGATTTCATATAGGCACAGTTCAGTTCTAGTTTATCTCAAGCTGGTGTTTTAAAATGAGTCACTGTTAAGAAGAAAAAAATTCATGAACTCTTAAATGAAGTACCTTAAATGTGGACTTACTGCAGATATATTAAGTGTGTGTTATATATTTAAAGCTGAAAATCATAGTAGTGTCTCAGTAAAACAGAACAGCTGCAATTATTTTAATTGGTAACCACTCTACCAGGCTATGAATTGAATGAAGATAATTACGCTCTGCCTGTCTAAGTTCCCTCTATACTTTAAAATACCATTTCCCTTCTTCCTGTCCTGTTAAATAGAGTTGAGTGCTCATTAGAATAATTTTCACAGTGTGCTGCTTAAAAGCTTGCAAGTCTATCCGAGGAAGCGTTCTCCTTCTTGTAGACTATTATACTCTCGTAATTTACATCCTTTTCACTACTCTTGCCTCTTTCACAATGTCTACAGATACAAGCATTTAAGACTATTTACTTTGTCTTATGTTTCCCCAGATATTTCAGAAAACAAAACTCTTTTCTGTATTGAGGACACGCACAATTATTTTTTGGAACTCTGCTCATAGTTTCACATGTTCTTTCCAAATATAATTCTTTCACTTCAGCTTTAATGATAAATGAACCCACTCTGATAGCTGACTATTAGGGTTGTACAGTATTAGCTGTAAAGTTTCCATTTGGAGTTACAAATGTAAATAATGTTGATAAATTATATGACACATCAGCAAGATAACAAGAACCATTTTATTTTCTAAAAATTGTAAATTACTTGTTCTGTATTTAAAAAAAAAAAAAAAAAATCTCATTAATCTTATCCTTCTAGCCTCACTTGGTGACAAGGAGCTGCATGGTTGATTGCAATACTTTCAGCAAAGAAATGAAACAGTACAAACTGATCTGGGAGGTGAAGGCATATAACTATCACAATCTGGCTAGAGGGTACAGTGCATCAGTGCATTAGCGGCTGAGGGAGCTGGGATTGTTCAGCCTGGAGAAAAGGAGGCTCAGGGGCGACCTTATTGCTCTCTACAGATACCTTAAAGGAGGCTGTAGTGAGGTGGGGGTTGGTCTGTTCTCCCACGTGCCTGGTGACAGGATGAGGGGGAATGGGCTTAAGTTGCGCAAGGGGAGTTTTAGGTTGGATATTAGGAAGAACTTCTTCACCGAAAGGGTTGTTAGACATTGGAACGGGCTGCCCAGGGAAGTGGTGGAGTCACCATCCCTGGAGGTCTTTAAAAGATGTTTAGATGTAGAGCTTAGGGATATGGTTTAGTGGGGACTGTTAGTGTTAGATCAGAGGTTGGACTCGATGATCTTGAGGTCTCTTCCAACCTAGAAATTCTGTGATAAAGGAAGACGATAATGCTAACAGAGATCGCTAGAGTTTTATTTTTACGATTGGTCCAATATTTTAAAAAACATACCAGAGCATAGTTGAGAAAAATAGGTTAATTGGTGAGAGTAGAAGGACATGAAAATTTCCATGCAAAAAGTGGGATCAGATAGATATGTGTCAGTCACACCTCAAGATATATCCCCCCACACACACACCTCTCTCTCTCTCTCTCTCTCTCTGCAGGTTCCAGAAGGAAAAGTTGTGGTTCTTTCTTTTAGATATTTAGACCTGGAAAGTGACAACTTGTGCCGATATGATTTTGTGGATATATACAACGGCCATGCCAATGGACAACGCATTGGCAGGTTCTGTGGTACTGTGAAACCAGGCGCCCTTGTATCCAACAGCAATAAAATGTTGGTGCAGATGACTTCAGATGCTAATACGGCTGGAAGTGGATTCATTGCAAAGTTTTCTGCAGCAGAGCCACATGAAAGAGGTAACTGTCAATTATGTATGTGCTGAAGACAAATATAACTGTACAACTCTATGGAGAGCTACACTAATGCTAAAGATGTGATGCTAGAAATATTAGGGATTGTGTTGCTCAATGTATTCATTAATTACCTTACTTAGCAAATAGCGATTACCCATAATAGTTAATCAAAATAGTAAAGAGGAGGGCTGACTATTTTGAATTGCAGGACTGCATCTAGCAGCAATATGGTAATAGCTTGTCAATAAAATTAAATTCAATGTAGATAAATGTTGCAAATACGGGAGAAAACACACTAACTTTATATATACGACAGGCTCTGAATTGACTGTAGTACTTAGGAATGAGATAGTGGGTTTGAAATAGAATAATTTATGAAAACACTGATTCAGCATAATAACAAAAGCAATAATTAAGCACCATGCCAGTGCTCCATAAGTAACAAAATAATACATAAACTTGACATTTTTTTGAAAACAGTATGAAAAAGAAACCTTTTAATGGATCTCTTCAGGCTGGTAAAGAGAAGCTCAGTGGGGGTATAGGAGAGGGCCCTCAACTCACAGCCAGTGTGGAAAAAGTGAATGGGGAACACAGCCACTGTTTCTAATACGAAAGGCAGATGAGCAAGTGGCTGCAAAGGAAAGGAAATGGTGATTCTTCCCAATGAGCTGTCAAGTGGTGGAGAGTGCTGTGCCACGGGACATCACAGATTGAAGATTTTTACATCAGGTTTAAAAACAATTAGGGAAAAAAAAAAGAAAGAAAAACTTATTAGGGGTTATTGAACACAAAGGCATTACCTTTCGCTTGGTAAATCTGGGACATTACAGGGAGGTCATACTACTGGGTTCCTGCCATACCAATTGAATTTTTTCAAGGCTTTTGGTATTTTGCTACCAGACTAGACAGGTTTTCGGGCTGATGTAGTGCAGATGACAGCTAACTCATTAGTCCTTCCAGTTCCAACACTGTGGATAACTTCCTGAAAAACATATTAGACAACCATGACATGATAGAGTCACTTTAATAGACTATCAGAGTCACTTTATAGAGTCACTTTAATAGACTAATAGGTATTATAAGTAAAGATTACATACCTGATATAGGCTTGCAATTTGGGACTGTGAGGAGTAGATACAGAGAAAAATGACATGCTCCATCGTGGACTCTCCATAGGCTGCAGTTCCTTCAGGGAACACCGTTACCTCTACATGGCTCCAGTAGGAGCTGTGGGGAAGCCATGCTCCAACTCCTCCTCCTCCTCTGACCCAGGTGCTCATAGGGCTGGTTCTCACTGTACCCCCCCCTTTCACGTCATCTTTCTGCCCTTTCTTAAATCTGTTTTCCCCAAGGCACCACCAGCTGAGTTGCTGGGCTCAGCCATACCCCATGGTTCAGCTGTTGGGGCCAGCAGGAGCTGGGCAGAACTGTCTGTGTCCAGCATGGAGCAGCCCCGGCCTAGATCTGCCCCGAGGCCTTACGGCACCCCACCAATGCCTGGGCACTGGCACAGCGAAGCCAGTGCATCAGCTGGGTCACACACATTGCTTTTGGCCTCTACTTTGCACAGTGTACTGTACTTCCAGGGGATCAATACTGCGGGGGACGACTGGAGAAGCCTTCTGGCTCCTTCCAAACGCCCAACTGGCCGGAGCGGGATTACCCGGCCGGAGTTACGTGCTCCTGGCACATCGTCGCCCCAAAGAACCAGGTAAGGTGCCGCCATCGCCCCGCACCTCCCGCTACTCACCAGCGTTGACATGTTGCCAACAGCCCGTGCATGCGATGTGCTGCTTGCATGGCACTCCAACAGTGAAAACACTGACTGGCTGAAATTTGGAGTAGTGTGGGCCCGCCTAGCCTCAGCTGTACTCACCTTTCTCTCATACATGACCTGGCTCACTTGAGGAAACTAAACATTACGTGCTGGTTTATGCGTGCTGACACATTCCCCTGCATTAAACTTTCAGACCATCTATGGCTGATGAGGCTTTTAAAGAGGATCTTTTGAAGTTGATTTTGTTAATCATCAACTAAACATCATACAAATTAAGTTAGAGGAGGTGATCATCTCAGCACCAGGCATGATGATGACAAATGCTAAGTTTAAAGTCTAACTCCATCTGTAGCATTTTCAGTGTTAGTGGTGTTTGTTACAGAGGGACTCGAGTAGAGCTGACTGAATTTATTAAAAGCAGAAATTATTTTATTGGTTCCGCTTGCAGTACAGGGAATATATTAAGATGTGTCTTGCACAGGGATCTTCAATGTACATGTCATAAGATTTGTCTTATTTTATATTTTGAAGACTTCATCTCATAACATGATTGCATAATTAGCCAGACGCCTTCAGAGTATACGTTACCACTTCAGTAAGACTCAAACAGTAGAGAAATATGGCTCATTTGCCACTGTTTGCCACACATGGCCAGAACATGTTGTTCCCTATGCTGTAGAGCTCATCTCAGTCCTAGCTTCACATTCTGTGATTGTTGTTGAGCCATCTGCTCTGTAACCTGGCAGAAACTCTACAGTGACTGAATATCCTGGTCACTGAGCATGTTTGATAGGTTGTGTTTCTTAACTATCTCCAGCTTTTTACATTCCTCTACACATAAAGAAAACTTGCTCCTTAATCTTCTGCTCATGATCATAATCCTCTAAATAAAAAGCTGCCCCAAATAAATATATTCTTAAGACCTTTCATACTTTTCCATTTCCCAAGATATTTTTTCCCCTTGAACTGAAGCAGTATATCAGCTTAGTCTTTCCTGTGCTCCTCTTTAATCCACATTCCTTGCTAGGTCATTTAACAATCCTATAGAGAGGCACTCATTTTTAAAACCTTATCTTTAAACTGCAGATTACGTCAGTTCTTTCCAGCCATCTCTAGATAAGCCTAAAAACTATTCCCAAGCTTGTAGAAAAGATCTAGGAAATGTAATGTAAGCATAAAAATTAAGGCACTATCTTGTGCCTTTTCAGCATCCTGCTCCATAAATCCATGTGTCCGAATATATATCTTTCATGTGCTGCAAATGTGGTTGCTTGCATGCAAACGGGGGAGAGTTTTGACAATAACAAAAGAAATTTGAAAATGTAGTGAGTAAGCATCTCTCTCCAAGTTCAAATAAAAAGCTTTTCACTCTCCCATTTGCCAAAGTCTAGGTTACACTGTCTCCACTTCCCTTTCACAAGCATGTGAGCAATAAAACAAGCCAGTGTTTTGCTTCTAATATAACTAAATAATTTCTTCATTTATTTCAGAAGATAGAGCAGCTCCTCATGATGGTGAAGAGCTTCTAATCTATCATGTAATACCTCTTTGTTAGTGCAAAGAGCACTCATGAACAATAGTAAAGTAGGCATGATGGCATGCTGCTTTTCCTGTGTATGGAAAAATTCAGTGTTTCCACTTGCATTACTCCTTTCTATACCATCTTTTTGATCATAAGCCTATCAATGAGATAAGTACTTCCATTTAGAGTGCTTTTTTTCCCATATTGGTGACAAGGTTTTTGAAACAAATCTCTTGCTTGTCTCAGAAACCAAGTCACTGTCCTTGAAGTTTGTTTCTCTTTGCCCTGGGCTACTTATACTTTTGAGGTAACAAAATGATGCATTGTATGTCAAGAGTGCAAAAATATATCCTGGCAAAGCTAAAACATCAGGTGATAACAGGCTACCTTTATTACAGATGTAGAACAAGATCACCTTTACTATGTTAGTAAATTAACATGTAGGTGATCTACAAATGGCTTTGTAGTCTTAACACATTTAATAGCATCTTGTTTGAGACAGCCCTTTGAAGAGAAATTCTGCATACCCACAGCCAACACAATTCAGTGTTGTCATTCAAGTCTCATTTGTGCTATTTACTGGAGGATGATTAAAAATACTGTCGTACTTCATATAAAGAAGCAACCTAAATGCAGGCATTACCTTTGTTTCATTCATGTAGTTATGTTTTCCTTCCTTGCTGCACACAACTGACGATCATGCTGCAGGACTTACTTTCAGACTCATACATTCAATTTATTTTCCATTGCTTTTCTTTCTTGAGTAGAAAAGTACATAAATTACAAGTTATATTGGAAAAAATAACATCAGTACCAGAAATAAGTTATATTAGTTCACAGCTAGGACTTCTGAAGCCCTAACATTTATGGAAATTCTGTATGGAAACATTATTTCTTTAACTACTTAGTGTCCTTTGGTTTTAGTCTTATTATTTAGTAATTTTCTATTAATATTTTTGTGTTTGACCTTCTTATTTGTACATCAAGTAAATACAGGATTTGCAACCACAGAGCAATGGTTCAAAATCTGCTCTTGATCTAGTCAGTGAAATGGTTCTTACCAACTTTGGCCTTGCTTTTTCGTTAGTGTATCTAGGGGGATACAATGGCACTAACAGCCCTCTTTCTGTGGTTTAGATTTAAGTTAGTTTCTTTAAAAACAGTGCAACACCTAACTATTACTATTCAGTTTACATTTACTCATAAAGATAACTACAAGAAGTTATATTTGCATATACTTGAGAACAAAATGCTATATAGATTATTAAGGTCCTATTTTGAAGTGTTTGCCAGAGAGATTCAAATACCAAATCCACAGTCAAGTGGATTAAGGACTTTTGCTTTATGGAAGGCAAAAATCATTTAGTAGTTCATATGAAGAGGTCATTTACTGTAAGTACTGCTCAAATTCTGCATACCGAAGCCTTAGTAAGTTATTTGCACTTTCTCTGCAGCTAATAGAATTAAAGTTTGAGAAGTTTGATGTGGAGAGAGACAACTACTGCAGATATGACTATGTTGCAGTGTTTAATGGTGGGGAAATCAATGATGCGAAAAGGATTGGGAAGTATTGTGGAGACAGTCCACCAGGGTAAGTAACTGTCATTGATGATGAACTTTACAACACTATACGTCACTTAGCTAATGGTTCTGTATTAGGCTTTTGAAAGATATTTTTTTCCCCCTTCAATATCTCATTTTCTATCTCCAATTGCATTTCTAGGAGTTGTTTAGTATCTTGTCTCTCCTGGGGTTTTCTCTTTTCCTCTGTCCCTCCATGACTAGCCCTGGCTCCAACTCATGTTCTGTCCTGTTCCTCAGGGCTCATTAGAGCTCATTCTAATAATGCTAGCAGTAACGCTACTGATATTGGTATGATACCAGTATTAATGCTAGCTGAACACTAGCATCACTTACTGTGTTTTGGTGGTAGATACTGAAGTGCAGGATCCAGCTGAATTCCCTAGTCCCTTGGCTCTTGACTCACTTGATCTGACTCATGTTACCTTCAGTCACACCCCTTCTGCAGGTTCCACGGCTGCTCCATGCGTCACTGCTCACCATCTCGTGTGTGTCACTGCTCACCATCTCTTCCAGCTGTGCTGAGGTGTGTCCCCTCCTGGCACAGGAGCGTGCTGGATAGCACCACAGGCTTTCAGCAGCTTTACTGTCAAACTGCTGCTGCCACCATCCTTCACACCCGTGCTCAAAAAAAAAAAAACAAAAGCAAAACCACCCCATTTTCAAAATCCCAACCCACAAATAAACACAAGACCTCCCTGTAATGGCCCCACCTTTCCAATGACCAAGAAACAGCCCCAGTGCAAGCAACAGTAGCAATAGTAGATTATAATTATTTAAAAAGTATGTCTTATTTGAGTAAGGGTAGTAATTTTTAACTTTTTCCCTCCCTTGTTTCCCTTCCATTAAGCATCTTAAAACTGAGTAGCTTTACAGGATGAAGGGGATGAAGAAATACAAGCTATTAAAAAATTCATGGAAGTGTGTGAATAGATTTAAGTCTCAGAAGTGACAGCTAGTTTGATTCCCAAGAGCAACTAATTATGGTATAAGGGAGGAGGTGCATGCCTCCATCTTTCTTGAGATTTACTGTGAGTTTTTTTGGTTTTTGGTTGGTTGTTTTTCTAAGGTTATGTGGTATATCCTCCAGAGACAAGAGGGGAGGCAGACGTTCTGCAGAATTCTAAAAAGACTTTTCTTCTCCATGCAGCAGCTATACTCTTTCTCTTGCTATTTCTGATCATTACCTAATAGCATGACAATGTTAGAAATAGAGAAAGTAAGCCTACCCCTACAGAAATGTATTTGAAATTTGGTAAGGATTTAATTAAAGGCAGTATTGCACCTAAAATATACTAACTTCAGTTTCCTTCGGCCACCTCAGGCTTTTGGTCTGGAGTTGCCTTTTTTTTTTTTTTTTTTTTTTTTTTGGAACACCATGTTCCTATTTGGAAAAGATACTTCCTTCAGGCTTAACTTCATTGTTGTCTTCTTGTATTAAAGTTAAAAACCTGCTCTGTAAAAAAGATACTGACACCAGAAAGTCTTACAGGTAAAATTGTGAAGTGCTAGTTAATTTAGGCCATTAAAATGATGCAAGAGACTAAATTTTAGCTGTAGTTATATACATAATCACTTCCTTATTTGCAGGACAATCTTCTCTAGCAGAAGTAGAACTATCTTTCCTTATTGCCTCCAACACAAAGGCTGTAGTATGGAAGGAGACCGTGCAAGGCAGAGTTAGTATTAAAGAGTCCATAAGGCAAGAACGTGGGTTACAAGTCTTGGACATCCACTTCCACCCCTTTGCCAAATGACATTCAGAACTCCTCCATTTTTGCCTCAAGTATGTGTCCATAGCAAAGCCACTTCATACTTTCCAGCTTAGAGTTTTGCCTGGAATAAAAGATGCCATGCATTGTTGCCTTGCAGTGCTGTGGCACTTGGAATGACTGCAGGTAGACTGAATACATCTCCAAACAGGCAATACATTTCTTTGAGCTGAATGTTGTAAGCACCAGTATATATAGCAGATAACAAATCATCATCATCTGAAGTAAAAAAACTCTTCCCCAAAGGAACTCTACTGCACACACGCCAGTATTTTACACAGAGTAAAACACAATGGCCAGCAGATGACTGGTTAGTAATGTTATTTAGTGCTTTACGACAAGGTAGACAGGTACTTCATTGAGGAGCACAGCATGAGAACCTCATTGTGACTTTGCAAATCCATCCATTACAGCTGAGCATAGATCAGTAAGGTATTTACCTTTAAGCTCCTGTAAAATAAACAAAAAATAACCTAACTGAATCTCCCCCTAGAAATACTTAACTAGCAATGTTCCATACAAATAAATACTTTCAATTCCTGCCATGGGTGTTTTGCTGAGCACAAATTGGATCCAAAGGATGATTGAGCACACGGACTAGTTTCCAACCCGAACAGAGCACAATTCAAGTCCAGTTTAACTTTCTAAATTTTTTTCCTATTTAAGTTGTGACATTGCAGACCTTTTACAACTGACGTAAGAAATGAACTCTACAAGATCTTATCCTTCCCTTGGTTCTCAAAAGACAGCAGGGAACAATACCCCTGCATAATGAAGCCAGTGGCCTCCAGTCCCTGTGACTTATTTGCCTCTTTCCAGCTAAGACGTAGCCCAGCTGTGCAGTATGCTTTGAACCATCAGGATTTGTTCTTGGCTGACAAGGCAACGCAGAAGAAAGAAGTGCTAGTTAATCCTTGAGAGGTGACCAGGAGTGGCTTCCTAAACCACCTCTCAACTGTGGCTCAGCGTCTTTCTCCATAGCAGGTCAAAGCTGTGAATTGGTCTGCCAAAGCCCTAGTGGGCTTCAAAAATATAGTCATTTTAATATGGACTTTGTGCAACAGGCAAATAAGAGCAGAAGTCTGGGCTCAGACCCAGGCCACATAGCTCAGAGATGAGATATCCTGTTACAGAATGTTAGAAGTTTCCTGAAAGATAGTTTTAGGACAGCATTGCTTACTGTCCTGATCTAGTCCAGAGCTTGAACAGTCACTTTCCCTTAAAAAATAATATATAGACAGCTTATGTATCCAGTGGAAAGGGAGAAAGTATGGCTCTTGGGGATTTTTCACTAGCTCTGCAGAATTCTCACCAAAATTTATCAGGTAGGTTCAGGAAAACAGTAAGGACAGGACCACCATTTAAAAAAACAAAAAAAAAAACAACAACTGAAATCATGGTATGTAAACTGAATCATGAAGAAGGACTTCTATATAGAGTATTATTTACGGATATGACACAGCAATTAAACAAGGTGGAACTCATTAACAGTAGTTATAGACAATATAATGCGGCTTTTTGTAACAGAAACAGCATACTTAAGAAAGACTAGTAAAGTGGATACCTTGAACTCCTTTGGTGGTTGCAGACATGAACCCAGATCCAGCTGTAAACCAGGAAGCACATAGCGTAACCACGTATCTGATTCCTGAGTGCAATTAGTACACTGCATAAATGAAAGGTATAGATCATAATAATAAATTAGGAGAATTCATCACTCTAAAAAACAAACACACCCTCCACCCTTGAGACAAAAAGCCTTTTTAAAAAAAGATAGGATACACTGGTCAAATTTTTTTGATTACTTGGTGTTTTACTTCTGCTGTTCAGCAAGCAGAACAAAGCTTTCCTACAGCTGGTAACTCCCCTCCTAATTCTCAGGCCTGCATCAGTGCTGTGGTAAGAAAATCAATCTGTGCAATTACCACAGTAACGGTAAATCAGAATTTCAGATAATCACACACTTACTTTTGGATATGTCAAACTCAACCCTCAGTGAGCTGATTTCTGAAATACCTGGGGGGGGAAAAAAAAAAAAAAAAAAGGAAAAAAAAAAGAGAGAATGACAAGTTTTTACTCTAAAAGCCCTAAAAGGCATCTTGAAGAACTCCTGCTAAAGGATCCTGAACTCTTATCAGATTTCCTGAGAAGCAACAAAGTCAGTTCAGTGAAAATACATCTTAAAACTATTTTCTCTTTTCTTCTCTCAAGTATCTTTTGCCTCTATGTTTATCTCTAAATTAATTTTTCTTCCTCTTTCCAAACAAGATAATCTGTGTTAATAATTATAAATGAACATTGAGGCAAGGTTTGTGGAATGCTCAAAAGAACAAGAGAAGTGTTCCTTTGCTAGACTTGCATGCCATACAGTTTTCTAACAGAATGAAGCCTCATCACACCACATCTAAATCCAGAAACAGTGTCACAGTAGATACTACACAGTTTATGAACTGAAAATTAACACACAGAAGAGTGCTTGTTTACAAATTTTCAAATCCTATCAAAATAACAGCATCAGCTCTCTAAGGCCTCAGTAATAAATATCCAATCATTGGTAAAACCCGGGTCTGCAGAAGTAGTACCAACCCCAAATATTTTTTAGTGTTTTTATTGAACAATTCCAGAGTCCAACATCAAATTAATTTTCTTCAGACCTTCCAAATATGTAATATATTTTTCTATAGACAAAAATTTTTGTCTAAAACATTTACTCACCTCTGCTATCTATTGAGGATTTCTTTATTATATTTCCCCAAGGCATTAATCTAGCCCTCTTCATTCCATGTAAGTGAAGTCTGCAATGAAGCCACACAGAAATTTAAAGATACTTGCACTGACATAACCCTCAGGAATCAGAAGGTTATGATTCAACAGAGGTTCTCAGTTACAACATCAGTGTCTGACATGCTAGCAAAGGAACATGTATTTCAGTATTAGTCTGGGGGCAGATAGAGCATTTATAATAATAAACATGAAACACCTTTTGTGTGTGTGTGTGTGTGTGTGTGTGTGTGTGTGAGAGAATTCTATTAATGGTTTTTGGCTTTGACATTAAAACTAATGGAAGTTATTTTTTTTCTATTCCAGGCCTATCCTATCTGAGAAAAATGAGTTGCTCATTCAGTTTTTATCTGATTTAAGTTTAACAGCTGATGGTTTTATTGGCCATTATAAATTTAGACCAAAAAAGTTACCAACAACTACAGTTCCACCTACTACCACAACAACCCCTTCTACATCAAGTAAGATTTTTTTTTTTATTGGCTTTATTTAATTAGAAAAATAATGTATTCCAGGAGGAGAAGAGGGTTTTGGAAAAAAAATAACAGAAGGTATATTAAAAGTTAGTTTTTTGGTTTGTTAGTATTTAAGATGTTGAGGAAATTAATGAAAACTAATATACTCAAGAGAGCACATAGAATCTAGTTAACATTGTTAAAAAGAAGACTCTCCAGTTCACTGTAACAGTTACTCACTCCAGCTCAGTGAATGTTCTTGTCTCTTCTCATTTTTTGACAGCTAACTAGCAAGCATCTTTCACCAAATTCCATAGAAATGTGAAGAAAATTCTTTTGTACAAGAAGTTCCACATATTTCAGGAAATAGTTTTATTTCGAGGAACTTTTTCTTCTAAATAAGTTAATTTGTAAAAATGTGGCCATATTTCTCTTCATGTAGTTATTAAGATAAATCGTTATGGAAGCCGCCTGAGCCCTCTTCAGATTCTGCCAACATCCTGTTGACAGAATTGGTTTTATTCAAAGATTTTCAGGGACAAGAATTTATGAAGAAATCAGACTAAAAATAAGTTTCCTTTTATATTTAAGACCAAAAAGAACATATGAAAGATCAGGGGAGGATTTCTTTGAAGGCCTTGCCAAAACTACCTCATTCCTGACATACTGAAGGGACAAATTCGTACAATTTCTATAACCTGAATGAGAGCAGTTTAAAATACAGTTATAGCACAAAACAAAATTATTTATGATGTTTTGCAACAGAACCTGGTCTGTACTTAAAATGTATCAGCAGTCAGGACAGAAATGGCTTGTCAGCAGGAGACCAAGAAGTTGTGGTGCTTAAATACTGAGACTGAGGTATTTAAAATAGATGAAAATAAACATGAAAAACATGTAATCATAATGACCTGTAAATCATTCTGATGTGACTAGTAATCTAATGATTTCAGCTCTTTTTCCCTATAAAGAACTTCTTAAAGTTACCTCCAACACCCTGTCTCAGTTAATCAAGGCTGTCACATCTCATGCTGCAAGCTTTCTAAAGAGTCTTACTGAATATCAATGAAGACTAAAAACAAACAAGCAAAACAAAACCAAACACGATTCAAGGCAAAACAAACAAAAACCAAAACCCACATCAATGAAAAATATGGCGATGAATTTTTAAACTTGGGATTTGAAAGGCAAAATAATGAACATGAAGATCTAACAGTCATGGATACACACGGAAGACAAATTTGTTTGCCACTCAGATGAATTTCAGGAATCTTCATAAAAAGTATCAGTTAAATTCATTAAAAGAGAAGTATAATGTAAATGAGAACTGTAAGAACATAAATAAGAAATCAGTCAGAAGCTCTTTTTCACAAATTATAGGCTAAGACTTCTGCAGAATGATGCATTCTGAAGAAAAAAGCCAAGATATTCTTCATAACTAATTTATTTTCTTTCAGGGGGAAATTAGGGTTATGTAGGTTGTCTGATTTATCTATTTTTTAACCTGTCCATCTCTCAGATCCATCTTTCTAGTAATTGTGACCTCATCGACCAATTCCAAACAAATTTGAAAAGGACATTAAAACCTTAAAAACACTACAACCTTATGTGCAAAGTCTTAGCCAGATCAAGTACAGAGTCTACTAACATCCAGCTAAAGGAGCTGGTGTGAAGTAGAGAATTTGTTTTTAACCAAAGCATTGTTTCAGAAAGAAAATGTAAATCAGTGCTAAGCAGCTGTAGCCCCTAACGTTAAGTAGATAATTCACACATTATAATGTGTTTCAATGTCATCAATAAAAACTATACAATACTTCATGTCATGTCATGACGCTATGTAAAAAAAAAAAAATAGAAAAAAAAAAGATGGGAATTTGAACTCTGATCTCTTCCATCACAGCACTGTAATTTCTGACAGAAATCCACTCCCTCCCTCTGAAGTAAATGTTACTGTAATCTAATGTTATCTTACTTAAAACATACAAGAACTATATGACAATAGGCAAGAACACTAGCAAGTTACGCATTTAAAATCACAGCACAATCAAACAATTTCTCTGTAAAAATCCCACTGTGTAATACCGTTAAAAAGCACACGGAAAGGTTGGAGTTGATGGCAGGAAAGGGGTTTATGGTTATTGTGGCGTTCATGTGCATATCCAGATTTTTATTTCCCCAAACGTACTGCTTGCATTTGTTTTGAATTTTTCAATTTTAATTTATTATGTGCTCTTCAAAAAGGTTTGAAACCTACAGTTGCCCTGTGCCAGCAAAAGTGTAAAAGGAGTGGGACTCTTGAAAGCAATTACTGTTCAAGCAACTTCGGTAAGAAAGCAAAGTCTGTTTCTTATTGATTTGACACTGTATGTTTATACATCTAGGAATTTTACCAGATGTATTTCTGAGTTTTAATTAATACATAAGTGATGTTTTTACTTATGTGTGTATCTGACATTAGTATCTGTGTATCGCTTAAAACGCTCTTGGAGATATTCTGAAATAGGCACTGCAGGTATGTCTGAAACAAGCATACTTCCTCAATCTAAAAACCAAATGACTAAATCTAAGGCAACCTCCTGTAGGAGAGCATTGATTCAGTTACTGAATCGTCACCTCATTCGTCTGTAACCAGCCATTACACGTTTTATGCCATACCTGCTGACTGTTTCCACAACTCAGTTTATAAACTTCCAAAATACTTTAAAAATAATTTATAAGTGTTATATATGGGGTGGTAATTCGTGTCGAGAAAATGGTTGATATTAATAAAGAAAGGGGAGATTTGGGAATATGGCCATGGTTGGAAAGCCCCATGGTTGAGATAACATTAGACTCTTAATGACAAGGCCATCAGGAATATAAAAGAGTTTAGAGGGAACAAAGAAGGGTGATTCAGGAGACTCCATGCAGTCTGGGGTTTCTTGTTCTCCAGCTGGTTCTCTTGTTCTCCAGCCGTTAAGGCGTGGATGTTTCTGGGTGTTTGCTCGTGTTGTTACATTCAAAGTTGTTTGACCAATGAAAAGTTATATTGAAAAGAACTGCTGTGGGGAGAAGGGTATAAGAGGGAAACTGCCCTCAAAAAAAGAAAAAAAAAAAGATAAAGGCAACACAATGAAGTTACATCAGTAAAGAAGCAGGAAAAAGAAGTGAAGAGGAGCAGGCTGGCAGAATGGAGACCAGGACGGGAGCAGGCATATTGATCGCCTCATGAAGATAGGTTCGGCCAGACTCAGCAAACCACTCTGAGAAGCTCGTACAGAAAGTTGCTGGGAATAGGCGCACTGGAGCTGGAGAGAAGCTCGAGCTGAGAGAAGCCGACCTGTGCACACAGCTGCCCCTCACTGGTAAGCAGTTGCGCATTATGGGGAATCATACGTCCTTAGGAACAAAGACTGTCCTGGTAGCCTTACAGCTCATTCTCCTTCTTAACAATTGGACAGTTTATGAGCCTGAAACATGGGACCAAACTGAGGTCAAGGTGTGAGACTCTGCAACTAAAAATGACAAGGTTGCAGTGGGATTGCTCGGCACCTGGCGAGCAGTCTCTGAGGCCTTAAAGAGCCCTGTGGGACCACAGTCAGACACGTTTGGTTTGCCAGACAGTGAGGGAGCTGCGGGCTCCTTTACTGATCCGACTGCTACGCCATCAGCCCCTCTGCTGCTACAGCCATCGAAGGCTTTTGCTGTTCCGCCCCCTGGTGACCTGGACGTGCCTTTTGACCCAGGCCCTACTGGCCTTGAAAAGGGGATGGATATGCTTTTCTTCGATCTGGGAAGGACGGGATACATAAGGCCTGAAGACCGAGTTGCTTGACAACTTAAAGCGAGACATATTGTTCAACGGGAATGGAAAATGGAGACTTGTATGTAATGAAGAAAAGGAATGGAAAAATGGAGACTGTTAAGTCATGAAACTTAAAAGATTGTTTGTTACCTTTCCTGATTGTACGTATGTATAGGCATACTCAGGTTCCGTATGTAAAGCAATGTTCTGTATATTTAGAATGTTTGATGTTTGTGTGTGCGTGTTGGTGGAGCGTAGACTCCCTGCACACCCAGCGCTGTTTACTTGCCTTTTATACCTTTTAGAAATATTTGTTTTATAAATATTATAAAATTCAGATTGAGTTGAGACCTCATTTATAACATAAGGAAGCTTAAAAACAGTGCTTTTCATCTGCAGACACAAATCACTAATAAAAAAGGGTGGTTGCTGTATAATTGGATAGCATTGTCACTGATGATCTGTTATGTCTCAGGCTTTTCCCAAACCAATACCTAGCTTCTTAATTCCCTTAAAAGATGCCTTACAACCATTAATCCTGTATGGCAACTTGGATGGAACAACTTCGTCCCCAAACCATTTTTTTTTTCTTTTTAAATCTAATTCACTCTATAGCTAAACCCATGCAATTAGAGAAAGTCTGCTGTTTCAGGGAAGTGGGGACAGCTTAGTATCATTTTGCTGAAAACCAGACCAGGGTAGTGGCTGCACCCTAAAGCAGAATGAAGTCACTGCAGCATGAGACTGCAGGAGAGCTGGGAATTCAGCTTTGTGCTAGAGTATATTCAGTTTATCTTCTCCACTGTTTTAAGATAAGTCATTGAAAATAGTATCACGTTGTAGCGCTTAATTAAAATTATCAAAATTCAGATCAGGGCTTCTAAATGATTGATGCATTCTAGGAAGTTTTATATTTGGTGCCACCAAAATTTGTTGGTAGTGAGTTTTTATTATTGGCATCACCCACATATTGAGAGACCGTTTCCAGTATTATTTGCATCTTAATTAAGGACTAATATGTTAATTCAGTTCCTATGGTCCCCCAAATCTATTTCTAAAAG